AGAGGAGACCGTGAATTAAGAATTAATCAAAGAGGAACTTTTTAGTAAAACTAGCAATAAAACCTAATAGGTTATGTTTATTATTTGTTCATTCTAATAACTCAAGTTAAATCTACAAGAATTACCAATTCATTAAACAAAAGCTTCTCTTTTCTTTCATAAATGATTGAGACGTCTGTTTTGAGTTTTTATTTACAGGATTTCTGTTTGAGGCATACTGTATATGTGAGTTTGTTTTAAGCTAATAAAATGGATTGAATGGAACTTGTGAAAAATATCAGCCTTGTATAGAGTGAGAGTGAATCCAGGAAGTAGTAAAAAAAATCTAAGCAAGCTAGTAGATCAATAAAATGCATGAATTAGCACTACTGTAATTAATTACTTACAGTGTTACACAAGACTAGAAAAAGGTTCTTTTGACACCTTTAATGTTTAACACATTTTCTCCTTTGTTCAACACATTAGCTTTTCAGTATAATTACACAGTAGTGTGTGTATATTCAGAATAACATAAAGGAATTAGCGAAGGCTGGCTAATTCCATGATGAAAAGTGTAAAGAAATACAAAACATGTAACGCTACAGCTGTGAAGCCTCCTTCAGGTGTGTTTGAAGAAGGTTCAACAGCCAAAATGTTTTTATTTTTCAGCATGAAATTAAACTCTACTTCCACTTTTGCTGTTTCAACACTGACACAACTCTCATCTTTAAACACTGCATCAGTGCTCTCAAACTCAGGTCCTGTAGGAATTAGTCGTTCAAGTAGGTAGGTTTGTCTGCATGCACAGGCTGCAGAGGAACAGGTAACGGGTTTATTCCATGCTGAAAAGAGAAGAAAGGAAACACGTTTCGGTCGCGGAGCCTTCTTCAGGTGTGAGAAAAACTGAGCAGACAGCGAAGATTAAATAGCACAGGAGAACAAAAGCTGGAAAAGTGGAGGAGGTGGGAGAGGGGAGAGGCAGAGAGGCCACTCAGGAAGTGCAAAGTGGAGAGGGGTGAAGAAAGGTGTGAAATCCAAACCTGCATGAGAATAGAGGAGATTACACGAAAATAGATAATAGATCTGTCATTGAGAGAAGGGGGAGGGTGTGAACCTTCAGTTTCAGGAGGAGTTTCGTTTCTGTTGTCTTTCTGCTGTGGGAGTTGAGAAACCCTTCTTTGAGAACTGAGACAGAGAGATCAGTGTGATTGTGGCCGTAATTTAATGTCTGCTGGTTTTTGTTCTAACCAGTCCAGTATCAGTGTTGTACTCAGCTGTTAGTTGACTGGCTGAAGCCTGTCTGTTACTCTGCAGTGGTGTCAGCCTCCGTCGGCCCCTTTCATCAACAGTGTTTCTGACCCCAGGACCGCTGCTGGCTGGGGTATCTGGGTAGTGGCCCATTCTCAAAGCACCTGTGACCCTGTTGTGTGTGAAATCCTCAGCAGGGCTGCTGCCTGATACACTTGTGCCGGCGTGTCTGGTGCCCACTACCATGTGCATTCAAAGTCACTTAAATCTTTTGTCTTTCCTATTCTCCTTCTGAATCACTCACACGAGCTCTAGGTATCTGTCTGCCTGCTTTAAACTGCACTGTCTGCACATATGATACGTCTCTCACTGAGCAGTCATTTACGTGGGACGTGGGACATAGCGAATAAACTGGCCACTCGGCCACACTGGCCACACTGTTTTCTAATGAAATTATATGTGTTAGATAGCTTTATCAACCCCATTTCCTTTGTCATCAAACCCCCTTTCACTGACAACTTCTGCCTCAATAAGAATCATTTCAACACTGACATATATAGTTCTCAGCAACTCTTCAAAGGAGCTTTATACAGTATATTAACAAAAGGATTATATACAGGAAGAAAATACAGAAGAGATAGCCTCAGTCATAGCATGCTGTGGTGCATGGCAATTTAAATCTCTCAATCTCTTCACGGCGAACCCCTGCACTCATTGCTAAGAGTCAGCTGACTCATGAAACAGATGTGTGATTTCCCCTAATCCTCTCCTGGGATCATTCACTTATCAACAACAACAGCAATAATTGAAGGGTTTGACCAAAGCAATAGTCAGAAAATAGCAGCTATTAAAAATAAAAACCTTATTTATGCATGCATTTATACATTCAGCAATGATGTGTGCCAAAATGTCAGAAGTATTTTTCCTTACCCATCGCTGACAACTCAGTGATTTAAAAAGCTCCTGTTCCAGAGATTCGTGTTTCCAGTCTGTCTTATTCTATTGCCTGAAGTATAAGGCAAACATTTTAATAACTAATTATATCTAAAACTGAAGGACAAAACCATCCGGCTGAGTTTTTCTTCAGGCATCAAGAGCCTCTCTGAGCCAGACACTGGCAAGCAGTGTAGACAGAGACAATCCCACAGGCCATGTGTGATACAGTCCTGCCCAAATAAGTCCTGATGTGAACTGTCAGAAATTAACGTACAGTATTGTCAATAACACAAATAATTGGTCCAACAGCTTTATTCACAAAACCTCACATCGCCAGATTCAGCTGTGGGTATCTGAATTCAATTCAATTCAACTTTATTGTCATATATTCTTATTCTTAAACAGGTGCATAGTATAATGAAAAGTGTTTCTCATGAGTCACTCAGGTGCAGTATATAAATAGGACAGAAGATAAGACAATAGACAGTAACACAATAGCAATAACAGTGATGTGTAATAACATAACATAAATAACATGTAATCAAGTAATCAAAACTGTGCAAAATTCCGCAAACAGAGAAAATATAACAGGACAAAAACAGTGCAAGGTAATTCTTGGAACAGTGCAAAAATAGTATGGTTAACAATAGTATGGTTAATAAATATTAAATATTACGACCGGTACAGTTTTACTGGGCTATCGAGGGGACAGTACAATTTCGTCTTACGTGTGTGTAGTGGTGTAGGAGTACAGTCATTATGGGTACAGGAAGACGTTAGGTGAGATCATAATATGATGGGAGGGAATGGGGGCATCAACTTGACAGCTCTGGGGAAGAAGCTATTTTGGAGTCTAGTTGTGTGCGACTAGAGTGACCGGAACCTTCTGCGAGATGGTAGGGGAACAATCAAGTTATGACCGGGGTGAGTGGGGTCAGACATAATTTTGGTGGCTTTTTTCAGACTCCTGGCGTTGTATATTTCCTGGATGGATGGTAAGGCACTGCCGATGATGTGTTGGGCAGTTTTGACCACCCGCTGTAGTGCCTTACGGTCGGATGCGGTCCAGTTGCTGTACCAGACTGTGATGCAGCTGGTCAGTATGCTCTTCACCGTACATCTGTAGAAGTTGGTGAGGATCTGTGGATGTAGGTGTATTTTCTTCAGCCTTCTCAGGAAGTACAGCCACTGTTGTGCCTTCTTGATGAGACTGGAGGTGTTCAGTGTCCATGTCAGGTCCTTAGAGATGAGAACACCTAGGAATTTGAAGTTATTCACCATCTCTACCACAGACCCTTCAATGTAGATGGGGGAGTGGACTTTTCCTTGTCTCCTGAAGTCAACATTCAGCTCTTTGGTTTTGCTGATGTTGAGACATAGGTTCTTTGTTTGGCACCAGACTGCGAGTTGTTTAATCTCCTCCCTGTAGGCAGTCTCATCAGTGATCAGGCCCACGACTGTGGTATCGTCAGCATACTTGTTGATGGTTTTTGTGCTGAACTTGGCAGTACAGTCGTGGATGAACAGGGAGTAAAGCAGTGGGCTGAGCACACAGCCTTGAGGGGCCCCAGTGTTAAGAGTGAGTGTGTTGGAGGTGAGGTTGCCAATCCTGACAGTCTGGGGTCTGCTGGTGAGGAAGTCTAGGATCCAGCTGCAGAGGGTTGTATCTAAACCTAGAGCCCTGAGTTTGGTAGAAAGTTTAATGGGAATGATGGTGTTAAATGCTGAGCTAAAGTCAATGAACCGAATTCTTGTATAGGTGTTCCTTTTATCCAGGTGGGTAAGTGTGGTGTGTAAAGCTATAGAGATTGCATCCTCTGTGGAGTGGTTTGTGCGATAGGCAAACTGGAGAGGATCCAGTGTTTTCGGAATGCTGGGTTTAATGTGTGGAATAAGTAGTATTTCAAAGCACTTTATTATGATGGAGGTGAGTGCAATAGGGTGGTATTCGTTCAGGCATGTGGGTGCTGATTTTTTTGGTAATGGCACGATGATGGTCATCTTGAAGCAGCTAGGTACAGTGGCCTTGGCCAAGGGCAGGTTGAAGATGTCAGTACAGACATCAGCTCTCTGCCAGGCACATGTTCTGAGTACCAGGCCAGGGATACAATTAGTTCCAGCAGCTTTTCGTGTGTTCACTCTTCTTAGTGATTTCCAGACATCTAGCTTTGATAGTGTGGGGGGTGGGGTGGCAGGGGAGTCAGTGGTCCAGGTGGTTGGTTCAGGGTTTTGAGCTTCGAAGCGTGCGTAGAAGATGTTAAGCTCATTTGGAAGACAGACAGCTCTTTTGTTTAGCTTCTTTATACTTGTATAACTGGACAACTAAAATGTGGATTTGCAAGTAATGTGAAAAGAAAATCACAGTGGTTTCAAACAGCTTGTAATTCTAAAGCTTGTCTTGAGCTTTTTTATATAAAAAGGTCAATGAGCCTTTCAAAAGTAATTAAAGGGAAATAAACATTCAGAATCAGGTAAATAATAAACCTAAGAAACGCCTGAGGCTGATAAATGAAACAACAAACACATATATATGTAACACACAGAACGTTTTCCAAAACCACTAAGAGAAGTAGCTTACTGACGGGTATGAAAGCAATGCCCCAGTCGCGACTTGAACCCGCGACCTTCCAATCCCACACCGTTGCCCACGGGGCAGATCTTTCCGAAATGCCCTGTGTGATCCGCACGGCTCCCGGCAGCAGGGCCACCTGGCGGCAGAAGCGCAGCCCCGCCGGGGTCCAGCTGCGCCGCAGGTGCATCAGCTCAGCCTGCCGGGCGCCCGCCTCCACGGCAGGGGGGGGGGCGACCGGAACTGACGTCACCGGCAGCCCTGTAAACTGTTGGAGTGAACCATGGCAACAGAGTCTGGAGTAGCGCAGAGCCGGCCAGCCTGACACTCGGCAGCGGAGCAGCCTCGCAGGTCTGGGGGACTTTTCCTGTGCGGACCGGGGCTCAGGCAGCCGACAGCCAGCCACCTTGCAGGCAGAAAGTTCGCCTTGGTGCCCTGGAGGGGCGCCAGAAGGAAACCCTTGCTGCTGTGGAGCAGGCGCTGTCAGCCGGCGGGTGGTCCGCGGTTCACTCGGGCGCTTCGGCGACCCCGTCAGAGGCTGCGATGCTCACACTCAGGCTGTGAGTCAACGCTGAGAAAAACAAAAGGGGGACCACGATGATTGCACAGCTGGGTGACGGTAAAAGCAATTTTGGGGTCTAGATTAAAGGGGTTAAGTGCTGTTCCCTAGCCGTTGGAAAGTCATTCCTGTCTTTTTTAAAAAAACGAAAACGAAGCAGAACGGTTACTCCTTCGTGCACATGGCACGGTTGCGTCGCCTCCTCGGCGAGCTCTAGCTGCGCGCCCGGCTTTAGACACTACAGCCCCGCTCCCCTGGCCGGAGCTGGGCGGCTGTGACAAGTGCTCGGCCAGCGCATCTGGAGCGGCGTGAAGATGGCGACGGGAGCGAGCTGGCAGCAGTACTACAGCAACGCTGGCAACCCGTCCGGCGCCGGGAAATACAGCCCTGCACCTGCGGCGAGCATGGCTTATCAGTCGGGATTAACCCTGGAATATACCCAAGACCTCCACCTGAAAATGAGCAAGAAAATAGCACAGCTGACAAAGGTAGGGCTCGTGTTTGCTGCAGGCAGACACCCAGGTGTGTTCTGTATGTAGGCTGTATGTTCGGAGAGAGACGTGCCGGGCGCCCGCCGCGCAGGCACTGACCGCTGCTGTCCGCAGGTGAGGCGCTCCGGCCGGGTTTATTCGTGTCCGCCGTGGGGAATCAGACCATCTCCGGCACTCTTGCGCTCCCCGTCTTTATCGCACTGGAAAGAAAAGCCGGAGCGTGGAAGGGTGACAGATCTGGAAGTTGATTTGAATACACTGCTCATCTCCGAGCGTGCCGTCCGGGATTTGTAGCTTTTCTTTCTCTTTGTCCAAAATGTGTCCGGTTGCATTCCTTCTGCAGTATCGGGTTGCGCACTGCGACCTTGTGCACCTTGGCTCTCAGCCGGTCACCTGGGGGGGCTCCACACGGACGAGTGACCGCCGTGTCCTGCGTGTCCGTGCGCCGAGGCTCGGCGGTCACTCGTGTCCGCAGCTGCCCGGTGCGCTCTGACCTCTGATCTCAGTTCACTGGACCTCCCGAGGCGGGGACCGCGGACACGCTGTGCGCCCTGAAACCGCAATTTGTCGCGTTTCTCCTGTGAAAATGTACGGAATTCACAGAAACTATTTTTAAAAAATATATTATTTGCTGTTGTTGTAAGGTAACAGTGCATCGTAAGTTAAAAACCAGATGCTGGTCTAAATACTCTGACAAACTCTTCTTATCCGCTGGTTTAACTGAGAGAGTGCTGTAGGAGTGTTCTTGTGTAATGTCCTGTAACTTACCTAAATAGTTTCACCTTCAGACCCGTTAGTATTCCCTGTTGTGAGAAGTTTGTCGAAAGCGAACATGCAGTATTTAAATACGTCGCCGTCATCTAGGTTATGCAACTAATTAATGACATTAAATGTTGCTTTTAGTCGTGTAACAGTTTTGTTCTGTTTGTAACGTTCTGCAGACGCTGAAGGCAATCGCTTGCGTCTTTACTCACAGAAACGGGAGCGCGGTGCTTGTGTTTCACAGAGAGGGAATTGCACCAGGTACAAAGTGAAGGTTGTGGAGGAAGTGGTCAGCGTGTTGTAGATCATAGTTATTGTAGCAGAACAAGAATAAATCCATTGTAACATTCGGTCTACTGTGGTTAGTGTTGTCAAATCATGGAAACGTTGAGTCAGGTTCATTTAACCAGCTCACTCCAGTCAGGAGTGTCTTCAGACGAAGTGGGCTACTGTATAGCTCTACAATCTCAGCTACAAAGCTGATATGTGCCCAGGCTCTACTGAATTGTCAGGGCTGTGTGGAACAGGGAAACAGTATTTGATGGTGTAGTCCTCTCAGGCTGAATGTGAAGGTCTTACAGTGCTTCCCTCCTGTTGTTTTTCCTGTATACAGCAGTTTGTATCTCCCTCAGCGAGGGGGTAGAGGTGATACTGCAGCTGAGCTTGTGTAAATGATGCTGAGACCAGTAGCAGCCATGGCACCCAGGTTCAATCACCTCTCATGACTGTGAAATTTCTGGTGTTTTCTTGTCATTGGAAAAAGTAAAATGTAATAATTTGTATAATGAGGCACTTTAATTGCATCAGGTGTATCTCTCACAACCTGTCTTGTCTGGTTGTCTGACAATTAAGTGATTCTGGCAGACTAAGTGCTTTTTATTACCATTGTTACAGTATACACTATACAATGCATGAATAGGACCACTGATTGTTTCTATGTCTCAAATACCATGTATATTTATGCAATATTGTATTCGCCCACTCAGGGACATTGATCATGTATCTGTAAAAGGTTTGATGTCCTGGTACATTGCATGGAGGACCAGATGAATTTAAGGACTTGAGGGATCGATGTGGTGTGTCTGCTTATTCATAAGGTGGCCCTTTGTGTATTGCAGTATCAGTGAGATTTCATTAACAACTTCTTTAGTTTTAGTTTAAATGGAAAGAATATGGGTGTGAAGGTACTGCAACTTTGTGTAGAGCACCATTGTGGCAGGACAGCAGCCTGTACCAGCTGTAAAAATGAAACTAAATACTGCAGATACAGTATGTACATGTTTGTAGTGACATTTCATAGTAATAAATTGGTCATGACTGGTAACCTGTGATTTATTTTGCCTTTAATCTTTGTATCTTTGTAACACATCAAATATGGTATAGATAAATATACAGTATCGTATCTGACAAATTTAATAAATGTCATAAATAGTAAAATATATTATAATACATATAATATCATTTGTTTTATATGTTTTATACTCACATATTCAGTGCTGTGTTAATTTCCTTGGAAATGTAGCATATTTTTTTATTTTGTGCTTCATTCAGTTTTAATATTGGAATATTTTCAAATGATTGACTAAACTGCAAACAGCAACAACAATGAAGGTTCACGACCGATGAGTTAGCTGAGTAGTCAGGTTGATCCTACTAGATTCTGATGAACCTGCTGCTGAAGGCTGTGAACTCTTTTTTTGTACCTGTAATGAGGACAGCGACACAAACATGACAACTCTGTTCTGTTGTGTCTGTGCTACATAAGCTGTGCTAGACAAAGTGATCATCTGTAAATGGGCCACGGTTCACTGACTGTGCTGGTTCTGCAGGACATTTTTTTGTTTTCTGAGGTCTCCATTGGAAATCAGCATAGTTGACCCCCAGGTCTGTAAGAGCCAACTTTAGGAATACATGAATTAGTGATCAAGAGGTGAAAGCGTACAGTACATACTGTATGAGCTTTTCATCTGGATCCAAACCTTTTGAGTCTTTGCATCTTGTGAAAGAACTGGGCCAGTGTGGAGGCTGCTGTATCCAATTAGCAGGAAGTGACAGGCGTTCAGTGTATCGGCTAGCAGATATATGTGCTGAAGATAAGAATAGTACATTGAGTAAACCAACCAAGTGATAACATCCAAATGAAGGTTATCCAGAAGCAGGCCTGTTTGTTGTCTGAGCTGTACAGTTCTTGTGTGATCTATAACTAGAGGAGTAGTGTCCTTATTCAGACACAGGCTAAACTAAGCAAAAAATGAGAATGAACAGAACGAGAATTCTGCCGCTGTAGCTTATTTTAAGGTACATCCACAAGCTCTTTCTGCTGACATTTGAAACTCAAAACAAATATAACGGTGAACTGTCTGACAGCCTGAATTGGGTGTGTGTCATATCTTCTGAAAAGAAGCAATCTCATTTATTAATACTACAGTGTACATGAAATAAGTGGTGTCTCATCTCACTAAGTGATAACAGGTCCTTATTAAGAGCAACACAATCAGTCATTTATTCATCACCAGTGTTCTTTAGTATACTTGTATCTGACACACTCCTCCCACCGTCCAAACTGCTGCATCGATACAGTTTCCCTGTAAAATGTCTGTTGCAGCCTGTCAGAATTGAATGTTGCAGCTCTGTATTGTGCTTCTGTTCCTGAGGACTGTGCCCAGCTTATTTCAATGCCATGCTAACATCTGTGAAGTAATGAATATATACAGAAATATGAAAGAAACGTCACTCATTTACAGTGCCTTGCAAAGGTGGTCAGACCTTTCCTATATTGTGAAATTACAAAATGATGCATGCAGTTTTTTTCAACTTAATATTTTATTCAAAGCCTCGATGCTCAAACTGAAGACATCTAAAGGTAAGATAAGTAAATGTCAGCAAAAACTGAAGAGAAAAAACTGAAATCTGTTACCTGCAATAGGACTCAAGTCCGGACTCTGATGGGCCACTCAAGAACAGTCACGTTCTTATTCATGAGCCAGTCCAGTGTAGCTCTGGCTTTGTGCTTTGGATCAGTGTCCTGTTGAAAGGTGATTTTAAGGCTGAAAAAGGTTTTCCTCTAAGATGTGCCAGTGCTTTGTGATGTTTGTTCCCTTCAGTCTTGACAAGCTTCCCAGTCCCTGCTATTAAGAAGAACAAGAACATAATGCTGCTAACCCTTGTCATCAGGGACGGTGTTATCTAGGTGATGCACAGTGTTGGGGTTATGTCAGACGTAATGCTTTGCATTGACACCAGAAAGTTCCAATTGTCATGTCTGATAAAAAAAAAAACTGCTTACCATATGGTTTGTTGCAATCCTCTTGTGCGATTTTTTATCTTTTTTCCAGTTTCTTACAAGCCCCTTTGTAGAGTTAGTTAATTAATTAATTGCTTATGCTTATATAGCACTGTTCTGGACACTCCAATCAAAGCGCTTTAATGTGCAGCCCCACCAGAACGCTCATCACACACCAGCTCTCAGTGGAGAGGAGAGCAGAGTGATGAAGCCAGTTCAGAGATGGGGATTATTAGGAGGCCATGACTGGTAAAGGTCAGAGGAAAATTTGGTCAGGACACTGGGGTAACACCATTACTCTTTTCGAGAAACGCCCTGGGATTTTTAACGACCACAGAGAGCCAGGACCTAGGTTTTACGTCTCATCCGAAGGACAGTGCCTATTGTACAGTATAGTGTTCAAGTGACTATACTGGGGCATTAGGACCCACACAGACCACAGAGAGAGCGCCCCCTACTGATCCCACTAACACCTCTTCCAGCAGCAGCCTTAGCTTTCCCAGGAGTCTTCCATCCAGGTGCTGGCCAGACTCACACCTGCTGAGCTTCAGTGGGCTGCCTGTTGTGAGCTTCAAGGTGATATGGTTGCTGGAGTGACTGAAATAATTTTGACCCCTAGAAATTTTTTCTCATCTCAGCAAAGTCTGTAACTCTTTGAAAGTCCGAGGCCTCACTAACCAGTTCCTGTCTTCCCTGGCTGCTCAGTTTGGAGGGGCAGTCTGATCTAAGCAGTGTCTGAGTGTCTTCTGTTTCTTAATGATTGACATCGCCATGCTTAATGAGATATTAAGGGTTCTTAAAATGCAACCTTATGCCTGAGCTGTTTTGCAATCTCCTAGATTTCATGGTTGAATATTGAATATTTGCATCAAATTCACTACTTGACTGAAGGACCTTACAGAGATTTGTGTTTCTGTTTTGAAATCATATGAACCATTGTTACTGAACACAA